TCCTCCACACACACACACAGACACAATCAGCTTTTTATAAGTGAAACTGTTCACTGTACATTATGAAAACAGCACACACTGGTTTATCTTCATTGCGCACACACACACGTGCACGCACACACACACGTACATGCACTCACTGTGAGGTGTGAAGACTAGTAACAACTCAGTTTTAGTGAAGTCATATTTTACAGCTAACTTGTTTCCTCTTATCAAAGCCGTTGTGTCCCCTTTGGAACTTTTTCTTTTTTTCATGTTAACTATGTCATGCCCCCTGGTGGTTGACAATGTGACCTGACACTTGTGGACATTCATAAACTGAATAAGAATTCAAACTCTTTCCTTCTTTCATTCCTTCATTTCCCCTCTCTCCATTCTTACTTCTCCTCTCCTCTCCTCTCCCTCATCATTTTCTTCCATGCATTTTTTTATTTTTTACAACCTCCAGTCTTTCTTTTCGAAACTTCATCCACTCACTATTTCATCTTTCCTTTAATTGTCCTCCCCCTTCATTTACGACCTGACTTCTCTCTCATTTCCTTCTCTCCTTCTTTCCTCCCTTCTCTTCACCCCTTTTCTTATCTTCCCTTTATCATCCTGTCCTTTTTCCTTTCCTTCTTCACTCTCCTCTCCTCTTTTCTTTTCTTCTATCCCCCCTCTTCTCTTCTTCTTCTTTTCCTTCTCTCAGTGCTGGAACATTCCACTATGATCAATCAGATTATATAACAGCACTGCAGTGAGAGAAACAGACACACACACACACACACACACACACACACACACACTCTCTCTCTCTCTCTCACACACACACACACACCTGATGCTGCAGTCAGCCCCAGATTCAGACTCAGCAAAAAACAAGGATTTGTTCTGCTACACACAAAATATTACAGAAAAATGTCTAAGCCACACCGCCTCCTGCTGGAGAGGAGAATGTTTCTAACACACAATAGCAACATAATGATTTTCCCCAACACGGTGATGATGGGTTTGAACTTATTTAAATCATGATGACAGTTCATTCAGTCAGACAGGAAACAATCAATAATAGACCACAAGCTGTTGGTCAGTGCTCAGCTGTCTGTGTGGGCACGTGTGTCCACTGAGGTCACCGTCCTTTGAAGGCGATATTCAATATGTTCGAAGGATGAACCCTAGAGGCCGCACTCAGAGTTTGACCAGCAGATCTGTCAGTCACAACATAGACATGGTTTTAATTATTACATCTGACTTCTTGTAAGTCAGACGTAGTGTGGCCCCCTGGAGGCCTTTGAAGAACAGAGCATAAATACGATCAAGATTCTAAAACCTGATTGTTTCATCTGCTGTCATACTGGTGTTAATGTTTACAAAATACTACATCCACCCATCTCTATAACGTTGGTCTTACACCCATACATTTTTCTCTATGGACTTTGGTCTGAGCTAAAATCACTGATTTTCTCTATGGACTTTGGTCTGAGCTAAAATCACTGATTTTCTCTATAGACTTTGGTCTTCAGAAAAACATCTGCTCAGAGATCAAAGGTCTTTTTTTTTTACACCTCATCAAACGTGAATGAATCAGGCGACACCGTTCAACGAGCCCTCCTCAGGTTATTTTAATCACATCTCAAACCTGGGTTTATGCTAAGATAATAAATATTTTTTATGTGTTTGTTTGATCTCCCTGACCTTCACAGCTCTTGGCAGCCATGTTGGTTTAACCGCTTGGACGACCGCCGCAGAAAAGTGCAAACATTCCTCACTTTTACTGCAGACAGTCTTCATGTAAAGTTCTAGACAGGTAGAAAGACAGATAAATAGATCTTTATTAATCCCTTTGAATTTCCTTTGGGAAATTAAGGAATCTATCTATACAAAGTTCACAAAAGAAAATAATTCATCACGTTTTGTGAAAAAAAAGAAAAGTGTCTCCTTAAAATATACTCCTCACCTTTTCCTTTTAAAGTTGTTAAAAATAACACAGAGACAGATCTTTAAGAGTGTAGAGTTATTCAGTGTTTCTCACTCTGACACATTTAAAGTCCGCTTTTAACTTAGGTTTGCCATAATTAACAAGAGACGGCTAATTATACTTAGCCAAGATGAGTGAAACCAGTCACAATATGGAAAGTCTTGCTAAACTAGCAAAGCTAACAACTAGCTAAAGAAATTGCAAAACATTTTGTAAATGGCTCTAAAAAACTCTAAAAAGCAAAGAGAGCTGTACCCTGGCACAAATTGTTACAATTTAGCTACAACCTAGCTAATAGTTAGCCAAATGATGTTGAGTTGAGGTTAAGCTAACTTCTTCTCATAACTACAAGTATCAAAAGATTAGCCAAACGAAAATGCGATTAGCCAGAAACAACATGAATGTATAGAAAAATGTAACTCTCACCTAAAATTAGCCGTAGCTTTAGTCAAGCTCATTTGTACCTTGAAGTTATTTCATAACAAAGCAGCATAAACTGATTGGCTTAGAGACAGTTCAAAGGTGAATAAAAGTCTAAGAAATTAAAAAAACCAAGACGACACACACACACACACATTCAGAGAAGCATCGTAAAGTTATTAAAGATTTATATAGAGGAGAAAACCACTGTGAGTGTGTGTGTTAACAACAGATGGAGGATCCTCCCCCCCCCCCCTCCTCCCCCTTCTCCAGGACCTCACACTACGTGACAACAATCTTGGCTTCATCCCACAGACCCAGTTTAAAACTGGTTGTGGTCTTGTGGTCTTGTGTCAGGTCTGAACTTGACACCAAACCATCTGATATTGATACATTATGATCCAACAGAGGGCGCTCTTAACCATGAAATCCATTGTGAAAAGGCCATCAGTAAGAAAAGACAGTGAAACTACGCTGTTGTTTTTGTTTAAACTGAGACAAATTCAGTCCCGCTTTTTCACGGTGGTAAAGAAAAAAAAATCAAGTTTCCACAGAATGAGTCCAACTTCAGCCAAATACGACACTGAGCATAAATGTAAGAAGTAAACAAAAAGACCACGATCACCGTGTTCTATGCAAAAAGAAGCTAAAACCAACGAACCACTGTATTACTCCAGAAATTTAGCAAAACAACTAAACTAAGGAAAGCAAAAAGGTTATTCAGAAATAATTCATATAAATGTTTAGCAGAAGCTAAAAAGACCAGATATACAGCTAGGATGTTCAGTAGCCAAGGGTTAGCCAACATTAGCCAATAGAAATGGAGGTGTGTATTTTGATTTCTAGGGTAGGAAGTTGGGTTGTTATTGTGTAATGTACGGGACCACCCGCTGAGCCCAGTCTTCTGTTCTCCTCACTCTGTGTTTATTAAAACTTCACTCAGTCCTGTGTCCTCAGCTGCTTTTACTGGGTCGTCTGCATTTGTTCATTAACAGTACCAGTCCACTGGTCCTCATAAATCAGTACCAGACTCCCAACGTGTATGTAGGACGCTGCTGAAGTGGCAGAATGAGCACAGCAAACTTTCTGCTAAGGCACCGACCGTTAGCTGGGTGAAAGCACAGGGTACACAGAGGAATTCTGGGAGATTTTATTCTGAACTCTGAAAAAAAAACTGTTCTGATCCAGAAACCTGGTTAGAACTCTAAAGGTTCTTTAAGGTGAGGAGTGAGGACACAAGAGTACAAAAAAAACAACTGCCTCTACCAACAAAACTGCCCTGAGGTCATGACTGTATCGCATCAGCTGAAATCATCGTATCGTCTGCAAACGAGTTAAACTGTAAAAAACTGTTTTGTTTTTTCTGTATTGTCTGCAAACGAGTTGACTTTATTGGATACACTTCCAAGTCAAACTGTAAAAAACTGTTTTGTTTTTTCTTTCTAATGCTCAGTCAGCTCTGTGCTGCAAGCTCCGCCCACTGAGTTCCGATACCCACTGACAGTCCTACATGATGTTACCAAATGTGCCGGCAGTACTTGATGCCGTTTCTTTATCTGTCGTACAGGAGACGAGGACCACGGAGGTTCTCCTTCTTCTGCTGCTGCTGTTTGTGCAGAAACACCAGCAGTCAGTGAGGACCAGCTATTGATCTGCATTCAGAGAGCACTTAGGAGGAAGTGCTGCAGGAGGGAGTGAGGAGGAGGGGAAGAGAAGGAGGGGGAGGATGGGGAGGAGGAAACAAAAGCCTGACTGTCACAATAAAGAGGTGAGGAGGACGACGATGATGATGATGATGATGATGATGATGATGATGATGATGATGATGATGATGGTGCCTCAACTAACAACGATCCTCCAGAGTGTGTAACAAAGAACTGATCCAGACCAACCAACCCACCAATCAACCAACTGATAAACCAACCAACCAACCAACCGAACAATCAACAAACCAGCCAACAGCCAAAGATCAGGAGAACATCACCAAGGTTCTTCATCAACCTGAATGTGAAACAGTGAAAACAACAACATCTCATTGATTTGGAGATCTGTTCTTCTGTGTTGGATTTTTACACCAAATGTTTGTGTATATATTTAGTCCCTTTTTAGCTATTAGCTCTTAGCATAAACATTTTCTAATATTAGGCTAATAATTTGCTAACCTTTAGCTAATATTTTTAGCTAATTTGGCTAATTTTCAGCTACTCCTCCAGACCCCAGTTTCTTCATCCTAATGTTCTCTGAGGCACTGGTGACCTTATGACCTTACTGACATGTTCTAGCGTTTCTCTTTTCTCCAGTTTTCTGTTTGTTTCCTCTACTGGGGGACGTAGTCATGAACAGTTCATAAGGGCTCCTGTCATTGTGTTTGGTACCGATTCTCCAGATCGGTGAAGTTTTTCAGGTCTTTATTACGACCGTAACAGTGTAACTCCTCTCAGCTCCTCACTTGTTCTCACTGCGGCTGAAGATAAAGATGCTGCTCCTGTCCAAACACTGGTCACCTGCAGCTCAGCAACTGATCCNGGTGGATCCTGATGCTTACAGGTGACAGACCCCCCCCCCCCCCCCCCCCACACACACACCTGTGTAATGGTGTCAGTGGTGGTGTTTAATGGTAAACTGGGCCTGGAGCCTCCAACTGCGCTTTGTATCAGTACAAAAAGGGACCATTTTTAAGGATCTGAATGGTTCTCTTCAACAGTAACAGTTCTGGGAACTTCTAGAAGTTTGAGGAACAAAGAACCAACTGTTTATCATGACTGATCTGTGTCTGGTCCAGTCAGGGGGTTGGTTCTGTGTGTGTGTGTGTGTGGGGGTATAAAAAAGTAAACAGTCAGGTGCAGCAGTGGACTCACGTGTGCTTTTTCACGTGACTTTTTTTTTTTTTTGACAAAAGCAACAGCTCATCATCAGTGCACTGACACACCAACACGTACATGCACACATCCAGACTGACTGGAGCAGATGCTGCAGCTTCATCATCATCATCATCCTCAGCTGCTGCACCGCACTGCGCCCCGCATCCACCCAACACACACACACAGGCATCACTGCACAACTCCACCACTGCATCCAACACCTCCTCCATCCTCTTCTCTTTGCTCCTCCTCAGTGACAGCAGGAGCAGGAGGAGAGCCTGTCATCAACGGAATGCGGTAAACTCCCTGCAACCCCCGCACACACACACACAGTGAGAGAGAGGGGGGGAGAGAGAGAGAGAGGCAGAGAGAGAGAGAGAGACCCGCAGTGAGACTTACAGTCCGCAGGAACTGGATCTCATCTTCTCCTTCTCCTCCTTCAGCCATCCTTCGCCTCCTCCTGCTGCTGCTGCTCCAGTCTGGCTCGGTCTATATTGTCTCCTGCGGTCCGTGTCTCAACCGCGGAGTCCAGTCTCTGCTCTGAACCGTGCGTGTGGCTTCCGTTGACAGGGAGAGGGGAGAGAGAGTGAGAAAGAGAGAGAGAGAGAGAGAAAGGCATTCACACCGACACGCTCTCTCTCGCTCGCTCTCTGTGTTTGATTGGATGACGCTTCCTGACAGTGGGCGGAGCCACACAGGTGTAAAATGGACTATGTTCGCTCTAATCATTAGCATTAGCCCCGCCCGCTGTATTTCCATAATTAAAGTCTAATTAAACACTGAAACACAGAATAGGTGTTTTATACTTTACTTCCTGATACTTAGAAACAGTGTAGATGTGACAATTACCAATTATGTTAATTATTTAAATACTAATAACCACTCAATCACTTTAATAAGGCAAGCAAATCAATGCTAACACCATGCTAACAAGCCGACAGTAGATTTAAAACATTTTCCCACTGTTGTTTAATCTGTGACTTAATTTCTTTAGCATAGTAAAACAAGGTATTTTTTTTATAATCGACTTATAATTAAGACAAGTAAAAAATATTACCGCGTTATTTGCCATGCATGGTACTACAACTGGCCCATGTCGTTGAGATTTGGCACTGTGGATGCTAACACAACCAAGCAAACACTAAAGCACGCTATAGCTACAAAGGAGCAATTTAGGTGTAAACACAAGTCAAACTACTTCTGAAAAAATAAAAGACAAAGAAAAACAGAAAGAGTCAGTGTCGACACATACCTGTATAGCAGTTAAAATAAGAATGTTCAAACTTATCAGCGTCTCTGTTCCTCGGTTCAACGCACGTTGTTCATGGAACTTCCTGGTTTTTTTTTTTTAACTTCAGTGTCAACAACAACAAAGAGAAGATCTTTTTTAGGTCAAACCTTTCTAAGATACTCTAATAATGAGGAGAAAGGTTTAATAAAATACAAAACAGATTTCTATACTGAAATTTTATTTTTCACAAAGACAGTATTTTTCAGACGCAGCAGTTTTTTTTAACCAGCATCAGAAATTACAAATGTGTAGAAAAAGTAATTTTTGCAGCACATCTTGGGCTTTTAAGACAAATATTTCAGGATCTTTGACATCGTCGACATTCAGCTCATTAAAAAAAAACAAATAAACGAATAAGCCATGTGAAACGTGAAAATCCACGTGTAAATAGCAGCAGTCATGTTAAATTCTAAAATAATGATGTGTGTGTTGAGGTTTAGACTCACACTTACATTCATAAATTGATAGATTTTTTTAATATTTATAATTAGGTTTTTCTGTCTCTTATTTGTCAGTTTTCTCTTGATTTCTTAACTTGATTTAAATTTGTCCTTTTTAGATTTTTTTTAGTTTTATTGTTATATATTTTGTGAGAATGCATTGATCCAAACAGCCAACAACACATCACTGAATTTTAAAAGTGACTAAAATGTGTTTTCCTTTGCCAACACTTTTAGACATTTAAAAATCAATACTGCAACTTTTTAAATTTCATTTGAAATAAACATTACCTAAAGAGAATAGTTAAAATATAAACAATTACCTAAGCACCTGATTATAATGATGTTAACAATTGTTCAGCATATTCCAGGAGAATCTTCAAGGACTCGTTCAAAAGTGTTGGTACAGAGAATTTAAAACTTTTAACAAACAAAGCTTGGCCTAAGAACCATCACATTAAAAAAACCGTCAAAAGTAAAATAACAGTTTTAGGGATTAGTGGCAGTATTGGTTTTGATTAGGTTCTTAGGTGGGCACTATGTAAAGAAAATAAAGCCAGGAAAATATTTAAATAGAAGAAAATAAATAAATAATAGTGACTTTAAAATTATGTAACTGGGACATCAGTGCAGTTGAACTGAAGCTGGAAAAATGTTACAAACAGGAGAGCAGATCCACAAATACCACTTTGGCTCCCCCTAGTGTCGACTCACTCGAATTAGTGTTAGTTTTAATTATCAGCTGAAGATAAGGAAATGGCAACAACGTATTTTCTTTAATTATTTACGAACATTATTATTATTATTAATATACTCTCAGCTACAATTCAAGCACTTCCCAGGTCTGGTCAATTACATTTCAGGAAGTTTTCAAGGATTTCCAGTGTAATCAAGCACTTGATAACAACCCTTGATAACAGACTGCACAGCTCTTCAAGCACCAAATGCATCTGTCAGAAAAGGCAAATCTCTGAACTACTTTGGTAAAATATATTTTTTTTGTCAAAGTCAGTGAGAAGTACTTTCAAAACGTTCATAGGAAACACTGTCATCAGCAATCGAGCAATTAAAAAAAAAGAAAAAGGATTTCAAGCACCTGTGTGTGTATGTGTGTGATGTCATGGATTCTCAGTAACCTCTGATCTCTCAGCTCCATCAGTCTGTGTTGTAGCCGAGCACAGGAGCCAACCACCTCTGCACCTCCTCCACACTCTGACCTTTTCTACTGGCATAGTCCTCCACCTGCCGGGGGAAAAGGAGAAAGAGGAGGAGGAGAGGGGAAGAAGGAGGAGAAGGACAAGAGGGGGAGAAAAAGGTGCAGGAGAAGGAGGAGGAGAGGGGGTGAAGAGTGGACATTTACAACATGGACATAATGACGTTTTATTCTTTGTTGGCAGTGTCATATATGAGTGTGGCTGTCAGTTCCTCCTGTGTGTGACCCTGTGACCCTGTGACCCTGACCTCACACTGTGTGATTTTTCCCACAGAGAAATAGGAGGCCTGAGGATTGGAGAAGTAGAGTCCAGACACAGAGGCTGCAGGAGTCATGGCCAGAGACTCAGTCAGAGTGATGCCTGTCAACACACACACACACACACACACACACACACACACTGACAGTGTAATAACAGTACAGTATCACAGCGTAGTACCCTCTCTGTGAGCAGGCTCATGTGGGTCTCACCGGTCTTCTCCTCGATTCCAGCCAGACTCCACATGGTGATCTTCTCCGTGTGGTCAGGTTGACTAGGGTAGCCTGCTGCAGGTCTGATTCCCTGGTACCGGATTCTGTGGAGGTCTGAGGTCTGCAGAGTTTCGTCAGCGCAGTAGCCCCACAGATCTTTCCGGACCCGAGCATGGAGCTCTTCAGCAAAGGCCTAGACCAGGAGGACAGACCAAACAGAAAACTCCATGAGACTCTCTCCCAGACCAAAGTCCATGAAGAAAATCAGTGATTGTTAGTTTAGAGTGAGACAGCAGTGGTTGATCCAAAGCTGCCTCCTGTGGTAAGTATGTGTCACTGCGGTAAAGATATAACACATTTGACCTTAGTGATGGAGGCAGCAGTGGATCAGCAGCTGCCAGATAAAATCACTGATTTTCTCTATGGACCCTGGTGCGTATTAAGTTTCAACTTAAAAACTGACGTACAGTTTAAAGTGTCAGTACTGATGATGGTCTGTACTGTACCTCAGCCAGACGATCAGCCAGAGCTTTGACCATGATGCTGTTGTAGTCGTCACCCTGAGTCTGAAAGTGCTGACTCAGCTCCTCGGCTCCAAACACGCCCACTGCAAAAACCCCGACGTAGTCTTCCACACCACTGTCCACGGGGGCCACAAAGTCTGAGAGGCACAGGTACGGCTCTGAACTGGAACCATCCTTCTCCGCCTACGTCAGGAGACGGCAGAGATTGAGAAAACCCAAAAGTCTGTCATGATGTTGTCATGGTTACTCTGAACAACGCCGCGTCCCCCACCTGTTGACGTAAACCGTGGAAGGTTGCAACAGGTTTGGTATCTCTGTGCACCTTGACCCCTTCTCTGTACACTCTGATGTCATCACCGTCACTCTGAGCTCGCCAGAAGCCGACCAAGCCCCGCCCCTTCACACTGCCACTGTCAATCATCTGGTTAAGCATCTGTTGGGCCTCGTCAAAGACCCGACGAGCCTCAGTACCTTCAGGGTACAATCGTTTATGTCATTTTAAATGTGACCTAAATTCAGTGTTTTTCTCTATGGGCTTTTGTATAAGTGAGTGGGTCATCAAACCACTGGGAGACCCACTCAGTTCCTACCAACAGTCTTGTCCTTGAAGATCTTGGGGTAACCTCTGTTGGGGTATTTCCCTCTCAGCTGCCACACGTCAAAGAAAGGCTTCCAGTCGATGAAGTCCAGCAGACTCTTCAGGTCGTAGCACTCAAAGACTCGTGTGCCGAGGAACTGAGGAGCAACTGTCAATCAAAACACACAGGTCTGTTTATTTCCATGTTCTCTAAAATGTTACTTTGACAAAACTGAAGAAAAGTCATTCACAGAGTCATTCACTCACCTGGTCTGGGCTGTGACGACCAGTCCACATGGAAACCCTTCTCTCTGGCCTGAGAGAGCGACAGATACCGACGATCCTGGAACAAAGAAAAAGAGAGCCTCATTAAACTGTTCCACACCAAAGTCCATAGAGAAAATCAGTGATTTTAGCTCAGACCAAAGTCCATAGAGAAAATCAGTGATTTTAGCTCAGACCAAAGTCCATAGAGAAAATCAGTGATTTTAGCTTGTGTGCTGTCTCCCCCTGCTGGCTGTTCTCACCCTCAGCGAGTCGTAGTGCTCTTGTCTGATTTCCTCATACTCCTCCTTCAGCTCATCAAAGTACTCCTCCCTCATGGAGTCGTCCAGCAGCTGAGAACACTGTCAGGGAGGAGCACAGATGTTTTTGAATTTTCAAACCATTACAAACTCATTTTTATTTCGCTCATGTTAAAGTACTAGCGTGTGGACATACAGTATCACCACAATGCAGTACTTACCACCACTACACTCCTGGATGCATCCAGAACATGAACCACAGGAGAACTGTAGCGAGGTGTAATTTTGACAGCAGTGTGAGTCCTGACGGAGACAAAGACAAAGACAAAGACTGAGGAGACTGTGGTCCACCAGTGAGGACAGGAGAACCAAGATCGCAGGACTGAAGCAAGTCCTTTAGACCTTTGACATAGTTTTGAAGTGTTTTTTTACTTGGACGTGGTTGCTCCTCCAATCAGCAGTGGCGTGCTCATGCCCAGCCTCTCCATCTCCTTTGCCACGTAGATCATCTCATCCAGAGACGGAGTGATGAGTCCAGACAGACCGATGATGTCTGACACGGAGCAGCAGGTGGAAAAAATGTAAATGAAAAACATCAAACAAACATCCCATAATACTTGTGTGGTTCTTGTGGTTCTACCTGCTTTATGTGTGACTGCAGCTCTGAGGATCTGATCACAGGGAACCATCACCCCCAGGTCGATCACTCTGAAATCAAAACACACACCTGCTGTCACACATAGTACTGGGCACACGGGTGAGAGGAGGGGAGATGGGGTGGAGAGGGTGAGGAGGGGAGGGTGAGGAAGGGAGGGTGAGACAAAGAGGAGAGAAAAAGCATCTTGAAGAAAATCACTAGGACTGTGTATTGGCAATAATCTGGCGATACGATACATCACAATATTTCAGTGTATCAACATTTTCTTACAGCCCTCTGACTGCCGACTACAGCACCTTGTACCTGAAGTTGTTACAGCCCAGCACCACACCCACAATGTTCTTCCCAATGTCATGGACGTCTCCTTTCACTGTGGCCAAAACTATGGTTCCCTGATATGGATCCTGCCGAACCAGAGCAGAACATGTAGTTTTGAAACCTGCAGACTTTCACAAATAATCAGAACGTTGAGTTGAATCTCCTTCTAGTTTCTCCACACTGACTATCTCCTCAGTGGAGCCCGTGGAGGCCCTCATCTCCTCCCTCTCCTTCTCCATGAAGGGGATCAAATATCCCACCGCCTTCTTCATGACTCGGGCTGACTTGATCACCTGTGAAGACGGGACAGAGGAGAGGTGACGGCTGCTGAGGAACTGTGGAAACATCTGAGTTACAGCGGTCGTCAGGATCTCCTCACCTGAGGCAGGAACATCTTCCCTGCTCCAAACAGATCTCCCACCACCTTCATGCCATTCATCAGCGGACCCTCAATGATGCGCAGTGGTCGAGCGTAGCGGTCGGGCTGAGAGCGACATTCCTCCACGTCCTCAACCACAAACTTCTCTATTCCCTGGAAGAGTGAGATGAACGATGAGGAAGGAACACAGGATCTGGAGGAACTCTGGACCAAAACTGGTCCGGTCACAAAAATCACAGGAGGACTACAGAAGAAATGAGAGGAACTCAAAGTTTGTGTACTTAAACAGCGGCCCGTGGGCCACATGTGACCTGGAATATATCCAGGTTGAGGCCCTTGGAGCCTGTGGGTCAGCAGAGATGCTGGACCTGAGTCCAGAGTCCAATCAAATCTGACCGTCTACGTGGTCTATACTGAGACAGTGGAGACATCCCACCTTGACCAGAGCGTGCTCCAGCCTGTCCTCCACACTCCAGTCTCTCCACTCCTCCATCTGGATCGCCTTTGTCCCTCCTTTCACCTGGTTCTGTCACAGACAGGAGTAAAGTGGGGAGATCAGTCCCTCTAAGGTCAGCAGCAGTCCGTGTGTGTATTCTGTGTGTGTGTGTGCAGACCTGTGCGTAGGTCAGCAGCTTCTCCGTGGCCTCGGCGTCTCTGTTCCAGATCAGGTTCTCACACAGCAGCAGCAGCTCCTTGTCGATGTCGTCGTACACCGGCAGGTTCCCGGCGTTCACGATGCCCATGTCCATCCCGTCCTGAGACAGAAGACTTCCTGTGAGCACGGTTTGACTGACAGCTGAAGGACGAGACGCGTGATCGCTCGGTCTCACCTTGATGGCGTGGTAAAGAAAGGCTCCATGCATGGCCTCTCTGATGACTTCCATTCCTCTGAAGGAGAAGGACAAGTTGGACAAACCTCCACTCACCCTGGCTCCAGGTAACGACTCCTGCACAGAGGAGAAGAGGAGGTGATGAAGAGGACGATGAAGGTGTAGACGACAGAGGCAGATGTAGTGTCGCTTGAAAAGCACCTGACCTTGATGACCTTGGTGGCTCTGATGAAGTTGATGGCATAGTCGCTGTGCTCCTCCATTCCTGTTCCGATGGTGAGGATGTTGGGGTCAAAGATGATGTCGTTGGGGTCGAATCCCACTCTGTTCACCAGCAGCTTGTACGCCCGGGTGCAGATGTCCACTTTACGCTGGGTGTCTGTGGCCTGGAGGACACCACACTACTCAGACCTGTGTGGAGTGTGTGACCTGTGTGTGTGTGTGTGTGTGTGTGCGCTCACCTGTCCGTCCTCGTCAGGAGCCATGACGACCACAGCTGCTCCGTACCTCTTCACGGTGGAGGCTCTCTCGATAAACTCCTCTTCTCCTTCCTTCAGACTGATGCTGTTGACGATGCACTTGCCCTGACAGCACTTCAGCCCCGCCTCGATCACGGAGAAGTTGGAGGAGTCGATGCACAGAGGAACCTGAGGCAGATGAAGAGGAGGAGGAGGAGGTGAAGATCAGGAGCAGATGTATTTTCCACAGCATCACAGTCTGGTGTTGGTTCTACCCTAGAGATGTCTGGCTCAGAGGCGATGAAGTTACAGAACCGAGCCATGGCAGTGGGTCCCTCCAGCATCCCCTCGTCCATGTTGATGTCCAGAACCTGGGCCCCCATCTCCACCTGGGCTTTAGCGATGCTGAGAGCCTCCTGGAGGAAGAGAAGGCAGAAGGAGCTGAGCAGATGTTGGTCTCCAGACTGGACCTTCTCCTCTTCATCTGACCCACCTCGTAGTTTCCAGCCATGATCAACTTGGCAAACCTTCGAGAGCCGGCCACGTTACATCTCTCTCCAATGTTCACAAAGTTGGTGTAAGGTCCGATCCTGAAGGGCTCCAGACCTGGACCACCGAGGAGCACAGAACACACACCATTAACTGCTGTCCTCTGAGGGAGTGAATAATTATTTGGGGTCAGATCACAAAGGTCAACATCGTTGGTGGATCACTGATTGATGCTTTTATGCTGGTTTCCAACCCCTGGCTCTCGTGGTTCATTTGGTACCAGGCTGATAATGATCAGTCTGACAGTTGTCAGAGAGTCTCTCAATCAAACAGCTGCAGCTTGGTCTGAAGATTTTTCAAAGTAAAAGTCTTTGTAGAGCTTCATTAAAAGGTCAAAAGGTCACAAGAAAACTAAATAATAGACAGGTCAAAAGGTCACAGAGGTCACAAGAAAACTAAATAATAGACAGTTCCACTAACAGTACCTCAGTTAGAACAATTATATCACCACAGCTGCTTCTCCAACACTCTCTGTAGAACATTCACTGCTGGTCACTGTTAGGGTCACTTTGACCTTCATGACCTTTAAACTAGTTTTAATGTTTGTCCTGTTATTTTTTTTGTGTTTGTTTTTGTTTTCACCGTGGTGACCTGAGACTGTTGTCTGATAGAAAACAGATCTGTGGTGTAAAAAGGTCGTGACCTCTGTAGTAATGACAGTGACCTGAGAGCAGCAGGTAGTCGTGGTAGACGTGGGCAGCAGGGATTCTGGGCTTCACATGTCGAACTGCTTCAGAGATGGCTCTGTGGAGGAGAAGAGAAGGTTTGGAACTTTCCGAGTCACAGGCACAGAAAACAAACACACTTTCACATTTCTAGAACTTTTTTTGTAGAGTGACCTGATGTGAGCGGGAGTCGTCCCACAGCAGCCGCCAACGATGTTCACCAGTCCACTGCAGGCAAACTCCTGCAGGAGCCCACATTTAACCCTTTCATTTAGTCAATTGTACTACGACAAATATCAGACTTTCAAAAAAAAAATAACATAAGATCCACACCTTCAAATTGGAGGCTGTGACCTCGGGGGTTTCATCATAACCTCCAAATGTGTTGGGCAGACCTGTGGACAACATCGTTAGATGGTAAGTGTAGCTTAGATTAATGGTGCCTAAGGTGGGGGGCGTGCACCTTCTCTAGGGCAGAGAAGTGCAGGGTGCTGAAAGGCAAACAGTGTTCTTCTCAGCTACGGTCCCCCACAGTGTGTGAGTGTGTGAGTGTGTGTGTGGGTCCCCCACAGTGTGTGAGTGTGTGTGTTTACCTGCGTTAGGGTAACAGATGATGAACGCCGTGGTGCTCTGACCGATGGCCTCGATGAACGGCCTCATCTCTGTGGCTCCTAAGGCACAGTTCAGGCCGATGCTAGGACACAGAGGAGACGGTGAGTTGGTAGTAGTAGTTCAGACCGAGTGTTGCAGTGTTGAGGTGACACACACTCACCACAGTGGTTTATTATGAGACACACTGACAACAAAGGCCTCTCCTGTCTGACCTGACAGAGTCCGTCCACTGCGGTCAACAATGGTCCCCGAGATCTGGATCGTGGGCAAAGACAGCACTGTTACCACCGAGGATTGGAGCCTGGGCTAACCTTCAACAACCAAGTCAACTGTAGAGTTGACTAGTGATTAGGGAAGTAACGATACACTCATAGGGACCTGACGTCTTCGTTTAATAGCAGGTCATAACCCCCGTTTTTAGGCGCATGATGCCACCTAGTGTACTAGAATGTGTAGTGTCGAGGTATGACCAGTAACCTTTTTTAGTATAAAGCAGCCCACTCCTCATGCCTTGATTCACAAAGCATCGTTACAGTATCGTTACATCCCTGTTAGTGGTTACAATGAAAAATAAACCAACGTACAAAAACAGGTTTTCTTTCGTAGTTGTTCTTTTCAAACAGCAGGTCGATGGCAAACAGCGCAGCCTGTGACAGAGAGATGCTTTAGTTCAAACTGAAAAAAAGTATAAAAAAAAATACATAAATGTTATGTAAGGTCATGTAAATGTTACCTTGGCGTTGGCAGTGTCAAAAATGGTTTCAACCAGAAGGATGTCGGCTCCTCCGTCTAACAAACCTCTGACCTGCTCTGAGTACGCTTCCACCAACTCATCAAACGCTTAAAAAAAAACAACAACATTTTTTTCATATATCATCACTTCATCTTTTTACTCTTACAGCTGGTGTGGGGAATTTCTGGTCTTTTGAAGGAGAACTCCTGGCTCCTGTCAGAGTTATCGATGGTAAAAATAAACATGTTCTCACTGATGTTCCTGAAGTCTGGTCTCTCCACAGACGGTGACACGGACAGAGTTTTGTTGGTGGGACCCACAGCTCCAGCCACGTACCGTTTACATCCTGGTGAGACAGGAAACAAACCCATCAGAGCAGCAACGTTAGTGAGTGACTGTGAGTGGAGTTGACGGAGATGTGAAGACCTTCTGGTCACCTGTCTGTTTGATGAAGTCGTCCGCAGCTCTCCTGGCCAGCTCTGCTGACACTCTGTTCAGACGATAGGCCTGACACACAAACACACACTATGAGGAAACTCACTGGACATGATGATGACGATGATGATGATAATGATGAAGATGTTATTATGTGACATCATCATCAAGTATGACAGCGTCACCCTACTATGTGCTGCAGTCCATAATCTGCCTGAGCGATGGCCGTGCTGCTGAAGGTGTTGGTCTCGATGATGTCAGCACCAGCCTGCAGGTACTCCTGTCCACACAGAAACAGGAAAAATGACTCAAATCTAAATCTCTAGGTGTCGACATGTTTGCCTAAATATATAAATATACTGCACTAAACACTACAACCCACCTTGTGTATTTTATAGATGATGTCGGGTTGAGTGATACTGAGAAGGTCGTTGTTTCCTTTCAGAGGAAGTGCGTGCTCTTTAAACTCCTCCCCTCTGAAATCCTCTTCCTCCAGTTTGTACTGCTGGACCATTGTTCCCATTCCTCCATCCAGGACCATGATCCTCTGCTGCAGCACTGAGCGCAGCTCTGACTCCAGTGGACTTCTGCATCCTGGACATGAGGACAGAACATTGTGATCGGAGACAAGTTAGCGGAAACATTTTTCAAACGTTTGAGACAAGAGGTTTAAAAGTTAGTGTGAAACGTAATATTATTTGAATAAGATTAGCACTGAACTAATATTCGTTTAGTGATAAAGAGGATTGTTCAACTTGTCTGAAAATATATTCAAACAGCTTCAAAGAGCCTGAATAAGAGCCTAACAAAAAGAAGACAAGTCGATTGAAGGTTGTTCTTTATAAAAAAAAAACAACATTTAATCCCCCACTTGTACACGCTAACAGTAATAAAAAATAAAAAAAGCAAAAAAAAATACATTTTAGAAATTAAATATCTGAATATTAAAAATCTCTTAAAGTGTTAAATTATGTCTTTAAATTAAATTTCATTATCTATATTGTGACTTCGACGCGCTATTATTTCCGCCCATTTCCACTAGGGGGTACACTAGTCACTATTGATACAATGTGAGAATTTTTCAATTTTAAAAACAAGCATATTTAAAAAAAAATAGAGTTTTGTCAAACCACCAAACAAACTTATCTACTGCTTTGTAGATTTCTCAAAAAAAAAATCTCCTCATTTGACATGAATAAGTCAGGCTAGTAACGTGGCTACAAAACTTCGTGCACACATGCTCGCTAAAGTGCAGTTTCCCATTGAAGTCTATGTAACCGGCTAACAGCTAACACTGTATTCTATTCTAATTTACCCGATTCTGAAGAAATATTCTGAACGACGTTGGTGGGCGCCATGTTGTGAAGCAGCAGCCGGGAGAAAAGCCTGACGCTCCTCCTGAAAAATATTGTTTTTTAATTGTAAAAAAAAAGACACTTGTGTAAACTAAAATTGTTCCACACAACTGCTACAGCTGCTACTACTTCTTCTACTGTGTTACTGATGACACCTACACTTCCGGTTCCAGGACTGTCATAATAAAAGCGCTTTAAAACAATTAAAACGAAAACGTATACCTGTACATCAGTATATAATGACAACAAATACTGTATCATCGCTGTTACAATATCTGGTTATTATCGCTAGAAAGGGTTCATTTTAATACACAGCAGGTTTAAAAAATAAAAGTCAACATCATGTGACTTGTTGACTGTTGATTTTCCAGCACTGATGCTGACCACACCCACAGCTGTCAGTGAGCCGGGCTGGATCAAGACACGCTCTCAGATTCATACCACCACATGTTTGGTCAAATCAGTGGAAAAGCCTGGAAGCAGAACACGGACCAAACCAAGCAGGTCACCAAGACCAAGATGAATCCTGATCCTAGAGCCACAGAGCTAGTGGACATCTCTGTGGTCGCTCCACAGGACCCCACCAGTCACCAACCAACAGACCATGTCAATGATCAGGAGCTGGGCACAGAGGTTGTGGTCTGGGTTCCCTTTGGACGTCGTCTGATCTCCAGTCTGCTGGGGATGAATCTAGTTCTGCTGGGAGCGGCTCTGGTATCTGCACAGATTTTTAACGCCGAGGGTCTGAAGCACCAGGAACCACAGGTCTTCATGCTGCTTTTGATGGTGGTCGGCCTGATCTGGATGCTGTGGTTCCTGCTATGGACCAGGAAACAGAATAAAACCAGTCTGCACTGGGACCACCACGCTGGAGGAACCACAGTCATCGGTAAGTCCTGGTCTTTTGGTTTTACAACAGTTCACGTCTGATTGTTTCTGGAGGTTGACTTCTCTTTTCTCTGCTCCATTTCCCTGTTCTGGACCAGTGGTTCTGGTCCTTTTCACTGCCTTCAGTGTGGTGCTGTACGTCTGCAGGTTGGGTTATTTGATCAGTGTGAGGGCGTGTCAGCCGGCTGCTAAAGTCCTGCGTACGTTCACAGAGGCTCCATTTCTGCTGCTGCAGGTAATGACACTCGGAAAACAAGCAAAGAATTCCCTCTGAAAAGGCTGTTGTGTAACCTGTGACCACGGCCCATCAGGAGGGCAAACACAAAGTCACTGAACACACGTCTCCAAAGAAGGGTTCGGCCGGTGTAACAGGATTGATTGACTGCGTTCTTTGCCGTTTTACTGAGGTTTTACTGAACACTGACTGTTTGGGTTTTTTTTTTCAGACATATTCACTGTGGTCTCACTCCAAAGACTGCATCCACAGACACAAGGTCCTCACCAGGTACTCATCTGTCTGGACGGTCAGGGTTTGGTCAGCATTTGTGTGTCCACATGTGGGACTTTTATTCATTAGTACTCTGGACTCAGGTCTGGCCTGATGGTGGTGCTGTCTGCCGACCTGCTGCTGTGGCTTGACGCGGTCACTGAGGACACGATACACCAGGAGATAGAGTTGGAGAAGGAGGGTGGACTCAGGTTTGGCCCCAGCAGTGCTACTGGAGAAGGTTCTGAGACATCTGGTATCTATGAGACCACAGAGTCTGTCCTCAGTCTGTCCTGAGTCTGTCCTCAGTCTGTCCTCAGTCTGTCCTCAGTCTGTCAGTCCAAAGTCCTGAGAGAAAATAACCCATTTTAAATTGTTTCCTTTGTCACTGGGGTGACCAATGACAATGAATAAACTCACTCTTCTTCCAGGAAACTCTACCTTGTGTCGGTGTAGCTCCAGCGCCACCTGCCTCTCCTTCAGGAAGGCCTTCGAGCTCCTGTACCCCTTCAACATGGAGTACTACCTGATGGCAGGCTGCATGATCTACGTCATGTGGAAGAACGTGGGCCGCAGAACCGGTCCAAACCAGCATGTAGTGCAGAAGTTGACCTTCCGTATTTTCCATCGTTGTGGACTGACCTTTGGTTTGGTGTTTGGCCTCTTGGTCCTCCTGGCTGGACTGACGGTCTTTGTTTTCTACCACGTCCGGGTGAGTCAGCAGACGTTCCGCGCCCAGGCCTTCCTGGTGTTCTACAGCTACCACTTGGCCGTCCTGCCAGTCATGATTCTCTGCTTGCTGTTTGGGATGGTGGTCCACAGGCTGGAGAGGCGACAACACGATTGTGGCCACAACCCGACCCGCAGCTTGGATGTGGTTCTCCTTATGGGAGCTGCTCTGGGCCAGGTTGCTCTTTCATACTTCTCTGTGGTGGCAGCCCTGGCCGTGGGGACCAGTGGGCTCCTAGGGAACCTGGACCTGTCCTACTCTATCCTCAGCCTACTGGAGCTGATCCTCCAGAACATCTTCATCATCCAAGGTCTTCACAGGCACCAGAACCAGAAGAAAAAGAATATCACCAGTATATTGAAGGTATCACGGCACTGTGTCCTTACTTTGGTCAGAGCTATAATCACTGATTTTCTCTATGGACTTTGGTGCAGTGATAACAATCTTATTTACGTGTAAATTCTCTCACAGAAAACGAAGAAAACGTCACCAACACATAATAATACATTGCTTGAAGAAAACACGTCAGCAGCACCCCCTACTGGAGAAAAGCGTAATGAGCCAAAGACCTGGCACACAAGAATGATCCAAGAAATCTGTGCTTTCCTGATTTTTTCCAACATTATGGTAAGAAGTCGGAGGAGAACCGTTCCTCTCTGAGGGGTTCTGAGGATTTGACGATGATGATTCTCTCCTCCTTCTACCTCCACCTGCAGCTGTGGATCATCCCTGCCTTTGGAGCTCACCCTCAGCTGGAGAACGGAGTGGGGAAACAGTTCTTTGGGTTCGGTACCTGGTTCGTCCTGGTGAACCTGGGTCAGCCGCTGACTGTTTTCTACAGGATGCACTCAGTTGCAGCTTTAATGGAGCTCCTGGTCTCAGCCTGACCCACCCTGGGCCACAGCTAACGAACAAACGAGCGGCCCACACTGAGTGACCCGCATGCTGAGGTCAAGGGTCACTGGTAACTGTAGCAAGCTGAAAATAGACTACTCCAGGAATTAAAAACATTTTAAAAAGTTAGCCCGAAGGGTTAGCGGTAGCCAGAGAACAAGCATGAAGCTGAAATAAAACCTTTGGTTCAGAATATTAAAGAACAGACTGTTACTGAACCTGGTTTTGGTTCTGATATATTCACAGTTCTCACACATTCTTTCTCGCTCTTTAAGCAGAAACAAAACATTTTCTGACACTTTCCAGACTCCGTTCTGGTCCAGAGTTCTGGTAGGACAGACCTCTGTCTCTGTCTCCAGTTCAGTTCAAAGTCCCTCCAGGTTTTTACAACTTTACGCACAAAACAATGACAAAAAAAACTGTTTCTCCTGAACTTCAAGACAACTTTTGGAGCGAAAACGTCTCTTTTACTACAAACTGAACAAACGGTAAAATTAAAATTAAAAATAAAATAAATTTGTTCCACGAACGTCTTCATTAACAGGAAGAGAGAGTAGAAGAATCCAGAACTGTTGAAGAACCAGGAGTCAGCGGCTGAGTTCCTCTAAATCCTCTGGATCTCAAACAGACGGATGTCGGTGTCGTACCAGATTGGAGGATCAACGTTCCTGTGGGAAAAAAGGGAATTTTTTTAAACAAAACTTGCTAACAGGAACTTAGCCTAGTAAGGGCTAAGACTTAGCTTAAAAGTAAAGCTAATAAGTTAAGAAATAAAAAATAAAGTAATGTGGAGGAATTATACAAAACTAGCTTAGCCATAACTTATTCTTTATTCTATATAAAAACCGACATTTTTTATTTAATTTTACCGTAAATACACGACTCCCCACATGTAGGTTCTGAACCACAGGGTGGTGCTGTTGTTGGCCTGGTACTTCCTGATCAGAATGGGATGTGGAATTGGCAACAGTCCAACCAACGTTCCGTGTTGAAGGAACCGGAGGATTTCTGACTCGTCTGTCAGACCTCTGCAGGAGGAGAAGAAGTCTTTAACATCAGTCCCAAATGAAAGATTTTACTTTACTGCAGACGTCCTCAACCACAGGCCCACGGACCCAAATGAGACCTTGTGTCATTTGGTACCAGTCCAGAGGAACAAAATCCCAAAAACATTTTGACATGTTATTGGTGGTCAAAATAAAACAAGTTCCAGAGAGAGAGGGTAAATACTTAGAGGTCCTTGAAGACCTTGAGAGAGTTTTGAGGGTGGTCTGGAGTCTTACTTGTCGATGCAGATCTTCTCGACCTGTGGTACCAGCACCTGCAGGAGCCTCATGATGGTCTGCAGAGGAAGTCTGCTCTTCCACGACATCACCTGAGCAGAAACGCCAACACTTCGTCAACATCACCACGGTGTATAAGTTCAAGGCGGGCGTCTTTCTGGAAAAATTGCACCTTTTGTCTTTGAAGTATTTTAAGTACTTAGAATAAACGTACAGAACTAGATTGTTGTCAACAACATCTGGACCGTGGACTGAACCAGGACCAGGACCTGGACCTGCACCTCATTCAGAGTAAAAATGATTTTCTGTTTCTCCTTATTTACCGCCCGCCTTAAACTTTTGCACCATTCTGAATGTCACCTGGAACCTCGGTACTGACCCAGTCTGGACTTATAGGGGGCGCCGCTGACGATGTCGACCCACTCATCGAACGACTCCTGACCAACTGTAAATCTGCGTGAGAAACCTTCAAAAAGAATTTAAATATCAGAGAAGAAGAAACACACATAGGCTAATCCAGGACCAGAGCGTCGGTCTGTGGTTGTCCTGCGCACTCTTACATCCGGATCTTTCTCTGAGTCTGACTTCGTGTCACTGGCTCCTCCTGTTACGCTTCGGTTGCTGTCTGCAGTAGGAACTGTCACCGTGGTACCGTTAGTGCTCACCTGGGCCTTTTCTGTGATGGTATCGATTCCTGCAGAACAGGAGAATCAGGTTAGCCGCTAAACATTAGCTGCAAAAAATGACGATTAAGTCAAAAAACATATTCGTAAGATGTCTAAGAGTTAGCAAAAAGGTTGCTAAATGTTAGCCAAAAAGATGGTTAAAAATGATTTTCAACGTTACAGTAGAAATACCTTAAACAGCAGCAACAAACAAATGATCTAAATGTTAGCCAGATCACTGCTAAATAAACTAAATGTTCTAAATGTTAGCCAGATCACTGCTAAAAATCACAGTTATTAAATGTTAGCTAGAAATGTTTGACAAACAGAGTTACTAAATGTTAGCTAGAAATGTTTGACAAAATGTTGTTTAAACGAAGCCAGACGTTAATTAAACGTTGCACAAATAAACTCACATTCTCTCATTTCTGGCTAACAGTTAGCTAAGTTTTGTTTAACCCTTTGATTTTTTTGTCCAATTCAAAATCTAACTTGTTATCTTTTAGTTTAATTCCTCCTGAACTCTGGTTTCTCGTTGTTGACCTTCGTGTTGACTGTTCTCACACCTGGTGTTGCCTCCAAACTGGTTTTCAACGTCCCTGGTTCTGCGGCTCCAGCAGGTCTAGAACCTTCCATCAACTGATCTTGGTTGGAGTTCGAGCTGGAGAGCCTGGACATGCGGCTCTTCTGCAGAACCTTCTGGATGGTGTCAGCGTCTGAGGGCAGGTTGGCCAGATGGTGGAAGACGTTCCTCTTCCTGATGATGGTGTAGACCAGGTTGTAGTTTCCTGTTCAGATGGAAGTAGGTTTACACACACACAATCACACACACACACACACACACACACTCACCATCAAACTGGTACTGGATGATGTTGTTGAAGACCTCCAGCAGGAAGAAGACCAGCAGGTGGTTCTGTGGGGAGGTGAAGAGGAACCAGGGAGTGGTGAAGGCCTCCAGCAGGTGGAGCAGTTTGTTAGCGGCGACCATGGACAGACTCTTCAGGTACGGTGAGACTGGAGGACAGACCAGAAGAACATTTTATATTTGACTCTTGACTCTGTCTTTTTTTCTGTGACTTTTCCTGAATTTCATCAAACACTTCACATAAATAAAATAAAAACAGCAAATGTTTTTTTTCCTCCAGCAGGAAGAAGGGGCGCAGCCAAGAGGGGGCGCTGTGATGACGGACTCACTGTTGACGATGATGGTGAGCAGGCAGTCGTAGAGAGGCTTCAGACGCTGGTGGCCACTGCTGATGATTTTGTGAACGACCTAAAGATTAAAGACAAACAACAATGATCCACTAGGAGTGTACGGTGGTGTCTGTGTCTGTGTCTGTGTCTGTGT